GAAATACCTTACTTATCCACACAGGGTGGATATGTGCAACCACACATAGGGTGGATGCAAATATTATCTATACTTGAATTGAACATCTCGTGTCGTAAAATTGACGATACAAATTGCAATCATCATTATTACCTTCTCTAGCAAACATGATTTTTTAATATGGAAATATTACAAAAGAACACCATTTCCAGATAAAATGATTTCGTCACCATAAGTTTTGTCCGAAATAATTTTATCGGGAAAAGGTTGTAGTTGAATATCACATCCCGGCCCGGGTGGGACCACTTCCCGGGCCCGCTCCACCACCGTAGCACGATATTGTCCGCTTTGGGCCCCGACCATGCCCTCACGGTTTTATTTCTGGGAACTCACACGAGAACTTCCCGATGGGTCACCCATCCTGGGAGTGCTCTCGCGCGCTACTCGCTTAACTTCGGAGTTCCCATGGAACCCGAAGCCAGTGAGCTCCCAAAAGGCCTCGTGCTAGGTAGGGATAGGAATATACATATAAGGATCACCCCTGGGCGATGTGGGATGTCACAATCCACCCCCCTTAGGGGCCCGACGTCCTCATCGGCACACACGCGGCCAGGGTTAGGCTCTGATACCAAATTGTCACATCCCGGCCCGGGTGGGACCACTTCCCGGGCCCGCTCCACCACCGTAGCACGATATTGTCCGCTTTGGGCCCCGACCACGCCCTCACGGTTTTGTTTTTGGGAACTCACACGAGAACTTCCCGATGGGTCATCCATCCTGGGAGTGCTCTCGCGCGCTACTCGCTTAACTTCGGAGTTCCCATGGAACCCGAAGCCAGTGAGCTCCCAAAAGGCCTCGTGCTAGGTAGGGATGGGAATATACATATAAGGATCACCCCTGGGCGATGTGGGATGTCACAATAAATTGTCACATCCCGATTCGGGGCGGAACTACTTCCCGGGCCCGCTTCCATTACCGTAGCACGATATTGTCCGCTTTGGGCTTACCATTCCCTCACGGTTTTGTTTTTGGGAACTCACGAGCAACTTCCCAGAGGGTCACCCATCCTGGGAGTGCTCTAGCCCCCTTCTCGCTTAACTTCGGAGTTCCTACGGAACCCGAAGCCAGTGAGCTCCCAAAAGGTCTCGTGCTAGGTAGGGATGGGAATATACATATAAGGATCACCCCTGGGCGATGTGGGATGTCACAATCCACCCCCCTTAGGGGCCCGACGTCCTCGTCGGCACACCACGACCAGGGTTAGGCTCTGATACCAAATTGACACACCCCGACCGAGATCAGGGCATGCTGGCCGTCACTTCCACGTGACGGCCAGCATGCCTGATCTCGGTCGGGGTGTGTCATTGAAACTTTTGTTTGATGAATTGTAGGAATCTATCTAGCAAATATTGTTTTATCGGGCAAGGTTGTAGCTGAAATTTTTGTCTGATGAATTGTAGAAATCTGTCTAGAAAATATTGTTTGCCGATGAAAAAATTTCGTTCAGCGAAGTGCGTTGACAAACTTAGCCCAACGAATCTAGCTTGCCTGAAAACAATATTTCATTGAGTTTTCAGAAATAAAAAAAATATAAATATTGCTAGACAAATAGCCATTAGACAAGAAATTAAAGAAAAATAAATAAAACATACATAATTCATGCTCGACCAAAATATTCGTCGGCCAAACTTATTAATTCTTTTTAATTTGTAATTTATATAAATTAACTAATTTTTATTATATAAACTCAAAGAAAGCACAATACTAAAATAATTATTTAATATTAGAACATAAATATCCGTACAAATGTATATATGTAAAATATCTTAAACTAATCACTCATGGGGTGGTGGTTGAAGGTCGCTCAAAGAATTAGGAAGGGGAATGCCAGAGACTGCCACTGTATATATGCGCCATCTTAAAAATAATAAATTTAAATAAAAAGCACACTTAAAAATATCTCTTTCGTCCTCACCTCATGCACCTCGGGGACGAGCTTCCTCCATGTAAGGGTGAGCATAGATCATTTGGTGCGGATGATGGCTTCCATGTAAGTCAACGGGCTATTAACTTTGACGTCCGCTCGCCTATGTTGTGGTTTGTAAACGATCAGGATCTTGGCTTGCCTTATATATGTGAGTGATCTAGTTCGAAGACAAACCTCTACAAATCCCCCGCACTTTCACCTTCTTCCCAAATCCGGCTACGAGTTCTCCATCTCTTGCTGGGCGCATTGTCGCCTAATTAATCTGCATCAGCCTCCACCGCATAGCACAGTGTCGTGCCCTTTCTAGCTGTGCATTCACCAGGCATATCAGGGCTCCCAAACCCGGAAAGCTGATGTAAGGGACCCGACCACCGACTCGGTGGCCACCTGGGTACTGCTGGTCTCCGCCGGTGGAATATCTGTCATCTTTGCCGCATGGTCATTCTGACTCGAACCGGAGGCAAAGCAGCGACCGTTGGTGATCTACCGGGGTGACATTTGTGTAAAAATAATCACAATAAAGAAACACTAGTTTACAAAATATTTAAATTAATTCTAATATATCACTGATTCTTTTTAAATTTTGTTAAATGCCATTATTTAAAAAAAAAAAAAAAGTCACAAAAAATTACAAAAAAATCTAAAATTCTGATATTCCTAAAAAATAAATAATTCCTAAAATTTCTAATATTTCTAAAAACATTCTAATATTTCCTAAAAAATTCTAATCTAACATTATCACGAAATTTGTACAAATTAAAAAAAAATTCTAAAAATTCTATGATTCCCAAAAAATAAATAATTTCTACAACATTTTCATATTTCTAAAAATTTTCTAAATTTTCTAATATATAAAATATTTGCTAAAAAAAATTCCTAAAAATTTCTATTGTGACATTATATCATAAAAATTACAAGACATTTCCTACCCTACCCTCATCCCTCCCATCCTCCCCACCCCGTCCCTCCCCACCCTTCCCAGCACTCACACATCTAATATCACATATATAAATCAAATTCAAACATATAATATCATAAATTCACAAATAAAAAAAAATTTAATTGGAAAAACGTGGGGATAACGTTTAAAAAATGTGGCACATGTATTATGACCGACTAAATTCGTCGAAACAAAACTAACCAGTTTGTCGAGGAAAGATTACACAAAAATGTCTGCCTAGATTAATTTTTGGTGACAGAAATGGTGGGAAAATACCTTTGCCCAGTGAATTTTACATTGTTTCGTCGGGCAAACCCTTTAATTTAGAGGAAAATTTGATGTTTTTGGAAAAAAAAAAAGTAAGAGAAATTTGAAAGTTTGCCTGTCAAATTTAAAAATACGGCTCGACGAAATGTGTAAGTTGGCTCAACGAAATTTACCAATTTTGCCTTGCAAGGACTAAAAACTCAAAATTTCCCTAATTATTTATTTATTTTCAAACAATTACAAGATCATCGAATTTGATGATCATGTCAATTCAATGTGTGATTTTACCCTCGATTAAAAGTCCATGCAAAAAATTATCAATATTAAAAGTGATATATCCGTTAAATCGTGATGATACGTTTATAACCATCGAACCTTTCATCTTGTTACCAAATCCCTGAAAGTTTGTTTTTGGTAATTTTTGGCATATGCGATCTCGTACTATATTCAAACAAGTTTAACAGTTAGATCATTGAAATTAGTTTCATAGACTTCCTATACCGTCAAAACAATTCAACAAACTCTTGGAGTTTATTCTATGGTTCTATTAAGTAGAACGTAAGATTTTGTAATAACCACTAGTGTAAATATTTTAAATTGATGATTGAGTTCGTTTATTGTATTAATCTAGATTAAAGGATTGTAATTGTAAAAAGATTATCAAAATCATATCTAAAATAACCGTTAAATCGTGATGATACGTTTTTAACCGTCGAGGGATTCGTCTCATTACCTAATCCCTAAAAGTTTTTTTTGGCGATTTTTTATGTATGCGATTTCGTATTATATTCAAACTAGTTAAACTGTTGGATTGTGAAAATTAGTTTTGTACACTTTGTATACCATCAAAACAATATAGATTCAACAAACATTTGGAGTTTATTATATGGTTTTATTAAGTAAAACGTAAGATTTTGTAGTAACCACTAGTGTAAATATTTTAAATTGATGATCGGGTTTGTTCATTATATTCTTCTAGGGTCGAGGAGTGGAATTGTAAAAAATCATCAAAATCGAAGCTAAAATGATGGTTAAATTGTGATTTTTTTTGTTTCTTACCGTCGAAGGATTTCTTCCAATTTCCTAATTTCAAAAACATTTGTTTTTGATATTTTTGGCATATGAGATCTTGAAGTATATATAAACAAGTTTGACGGTTGGATCATTGACACCGGTTTCGTAGAATACGAATCCTGTCAAAATAGTATATTCAACAAACACTTAGAGTTTATTCTATACTTCTATTTAGTAGAACATAAAATTTTGTGGTATCCACTAGTGTAAATATTTTAAATTTGATCGGGTTCCTTCATTGTATGGTTGTAGGATCGAGGAGTGTAGTAAAAAATCATCAAAATCAAAGCTAAAATGATCGTTACATCATTATTTTTTTGTTTGAAACCGTTCAAGGATTTTGTCACGTCACCTAATATCTGAAAGTTTGTTTTTGATGATTTTTTGGCATAAAGAGATATCGGAATATAGACCAACTACATTAACGATTCAGATTGTTAAATTAATTTCTTGAATTGCGAAAATCATCAAAGGAATTGAATATGCAAAAAATCATTCAATTTTGCCCAATGAAATATTACATTTGGCCCGACCAACTGCAAGCCCTAAATCATAAAGTATACTTTTTTTTTTTTTTTTTTTTTGAGTTCTTAATTTAATTTTTCATTAACTTAATGAAATGGGGATTGCCCAACGACGTATTTGTTCATTCATCGGGCAAATTTGGCATAATGCTTGCGGATTTGTCCCTTGCCGTGATCATTTTACTAGTCTAAATTATTCATCGCCTAAAGTCTCTGAAAAAAAATCAAAGCAATAACCAATTTTGTCCGGCCAAATTTTTATTTTTGTCGGGCAAATTAACTTTACCCGATTATTCGTTGGACAAAGTTTAGTCGGACAAATGGTAAGTTCTTGTAGTGAAAGCGAACTCTGACTTTAGAATTACATTACTTTCCAATCATAATTTTTACGTCAACTAATTAATGAATTTCGTAATTTTACAGAGCAACCTTAATTACTTGACGAACCCTATCACGTAATTAGTTTCTTAATATGACATGACCAAACAGCTAGTAATTACTTCCTTACAAATATATATATGTGCGTCATTTGATATTTATTAAGGAGCCTGCATCATTTCCTACGATTGCCAGTCCGTTCTTCAGTAGCTTTAGTCTTTAGTTAGTTGCCTCAATCATATGTTCGACTGAGGTTATCTCGAGAATGGGGCCTGTAGGTGTCGTATTTATCGTGCTGTCGACAAGTTTGAACCACTGGCTAGCTGGGTCGCAAGAATTATCTCTGCTCAAGCATTTGCAGGAACTTGTGACAACTGTATTGCTGGAGTCTACATCAAGGCAAACTTCAGTGCCGTCCGTGGTCTTAGATTGCAGGTGCAACTTAGAATCCGAAATGATATCCCATTGCGAATTCGTGGTCGTGCAAAGTATCCCCACTGCTGCCGGCTTATTCAGTTCGTCAGCTTGTATGCAGAAATACGTTCCTTTCAGCGTTAGGACCTTCCTGGATGAATAGGTCCAGGCTCCAGACTGAGAGCATGGACCTAACTTCAAAGGGCCAAGGAATCCAACTTTTAGGAGGCAAAGGCCTGTGGCTGGATGAAATATGATCTTGTGCATTCTGGATTGAGATAAGCCTGGCCCTGCAATCAACACAAACACACAATAAAACTTTCTGACACAAGCGATATTCTATCTTAAACTAATTTAAACTCCAAGGAGAAAGATTTGAATTCATGTGCTATAGGGGTCTAGCCAATGTGGCTGCGGCACTACACCCATGTTAATTTGTCGCAAGCAAATTAGCGTTAGCCCTCCAAAAATGAAGTATATGATTCAGATCTCTTCAATAAAACAAAGATTATGTGTTGCACTCAGTCAGCTATGTGGGCATGCAAGGTCGACATCTCATCAACCGTTAGAAACCACTTGCGTGCATAGGATATTAGCAAAATCAAACGAGGAAATTGAAACACGCTATTACCTTGCAAAGGCGATTGGAGGACAGAAAGTCTCTGAGTTAGGCTTGAATTCCTGATATCACTCCAATCCCAGTTCAAGATTCCATAATACTCTTCCGTACCCACCACCCCTTCCCTAAAGTAATAACTCCCAACCAGAGTCCACAAAGAAAAATCCACATCAAGTTCAGCAGCAGCAGCCATGAAGCAGTTTAAGTACCTGTTGTCATTTACATTGGTTCCCCTTTGGTCCGCCCCAAACTCACTCACAAACAATGGGAACCCTTCTTCAAGCAAAAATCCTGACTTTCTCTTCACGTTATTGTATACTTGGCCGCACACTTGGTTGGGATTGCCGCTCTGCCATGCCTGCCCGTCTGAAAATCCATACCAGTGCACTTCAAATACTGTTTTCCCCGCAAATGTGAGGTTCACAGGCCGTTTGGCTAGGAAAGATAAGTCCGTGTCAAAACTCAAGCCAGAGAGAATGACCAGCACGTCTGCGTTTGCCGAGTGCACTGCCTCAGCTCCTCTTTGCATGTACCTATAAACGGATAGTTAATAAAAGTTAAAGGTAATTTTAGTATTAGTTCGTATTGATCAGTCGTTTGTACGGCTGGTTTTGGTTCGTTACCAGCCCAACGATTCACAATTTGCTGCTCTCACTTTATATATAGAGATAAACGAATTCGTTCTCAGCTTGAAATGAAATGAAGCACTTACTTGTACCAATCGTTAACATTCTGTTTGGGGCCTCGCAGCTCATTCCTCAAGCTCATGCCGACCACATTGCTGACGCCTTTGAACAATGTGGCCATTCGAGTTAGGCCAGTGATCCAAAGGTCAGGGTTGAAATACTGGTCGCCAAAGAAACCATTGCCGTCGGTGTTGCTGCAACACCACCCAGGCTTGCTTAAGTGATTGTCCAGTATAACCATCACATTGTTGCTCCCAAGGCTAGAAACCACTGCCTAAATATATGATAATAAAATCAGTCATATCTTTTGTGAAAATTTGAAAATATAAATTATGAGGGAGCTATTATTATCATTCTAAAAATTTAAAACCATATCATGTAAAACCTAAATGTATTTCACATAGTTGAGAAAAACTTAGATTGACATGCCGGCACAGTTATACACCCCTCTTAAACAACGTGTATTTATGAGTTTGATGCTTGTAGTTTAGGTAGAACTCCACTTCATAATTTCAATTTTCACTACTTAAGTTTTTGTAATTTACTAATTCTTGCAATTTGACTTGGTAAACTACATTTTATGTAGTGAAATGATCTATGAATAGAGGATCGATAGAAGTGAAACTTGAAATCACACCATCAAGAATAGGTCCAAGCACTCCTCTTTTGTGTAGTTGAGACTTAATTCTGTAATTTACTAATTCTTGCAATTTAAAGACAACAATTTAATTGTCAATTTATTTGACAAAATTAACAGGTGTGAGACTTAGTGAGGGAAATTTACTCCTGCTAGGTAAAAATACCATACATTCATCCCAATTGATAATTTAATAAAATAAAATAAAACATTAACTCAGTAGAATCATAGTCGTTGACAACATCTAATTCTACATGTACTACATCCCCATAACTGAGAGAGATTTTAAGTATTCCGGAAACACAACTCAGTATAAATAAAATTATTCAGAAATGAGAACTTATTTCTGGCACACTAAAATATTTCTCTATATCTAAAACTATATGACTAAAGTGTATCTTATCCAAAACTACAAGGACATAAAATCATGCTTTGGTTGTATTAATCTATTCTAAATCATGATATCTTATACCTAGATTAATACTAGTACCACAAAATATTAATATATCTATCTCTACTAATTAATAAAAACACTCATTGTCAACCAAAACTTTATGAAATTATCAGTTTAACCGTCTAATTAAAACATAACATGAATAAGAAATATGGGGCAGAAATGTAATTTCACACAACCAAATTTTGTTTTTTTTTTTTTTCTTTCAAAGCCTCACCAACATGTAATTCTAACATATCTCTAATTTAAAATAAAAAAAAAAAAAAAAAAACTTCTCACTCTCACATTCTCTATCACTCTCTTCATCTTTAATTCTATTTAAAAAACAAAAATAAAAAATTTTCTCACACACTTTGTGTGTGCCCGTATACTAATTAATTATTAAGAGCTTGGGTTATGTAGTTGACCCACTTAAGTTCTAAGGGTTGCTAAATGGCAGGTAGAATGGTGGTGCATAATTTGGGTCACATCATACTAATTACTGTGTAATTTATTTGATTTTAGTAATTAAAAAAAAACTATTCTTGATATTGCCGTCATTAACTAAAGCAGTAACTGTACCATGAAGTTGAAAATTGATACATACCAGTAATTTTATATTGTGTCAAAAATATAAATTGATGCATCAAGTATAATAACATAAGTAGTTGAAATTTTTTCTTAAATTTTTAATTAATTATATTATTATATTTAATATACTTAACTGTGTTTTCGCAAGGCGAAAAAAATCTCTGAATAGCTGGGGATGGACTGACATCAGATGGATAACATCAGATGGATAATCCATGCACAATAATTTACATATTCCATCCATCATGAGTCGGGTACGTAGATCAGATGTCGGTCTTTCCACTGGAAAGTTACCCTTAGCTTAGCTTTTACGTTAAACTACTCAATAATATTAAAAGAGTCTTATGACATTATTTATTTTTAATATTGACGATATTTTTACTTTTAAAAGTTATTCATGATATTATTTATTTATAATATTTTTTTATTTTTTTGATTAAAAATGAAAATTTTCAAGTTATTTTTATTAATTTTTCTTAAAATTAACTTAAAGAAAACCTAATTTCTACTAGGATGATTGTGGGGTCCATGCAGAATATAATAATTAAGCAAATGATATAAATAAATAAAATAACCAGCATAGTTTCTTTTCCTTTTCTCAGTTTGTTTCCCGGGAAGATCAGAGACTTGTACCTGGTAAGCTTTCAAGAGGGGGAGATCGACGAGGGCGGGATTGTTGGACTGGATACCGGAAATAGAATCGAGCAGTCCGAGGCTCTGAAACGACTGCCGAACAGTGACAGCCGCCAGCGTCTCATTGGTGGCCAGGAAAAGCGGCCACGTGAGCCTGACGCAGTTGAATCCCAGCGACGTGATGCGCTTGGCGATTGCGTCCACCGGCTGCTTGCTGAGGCCTTCGGCTACGACGGTGTCGAGATGCGACACCCAATTCACGCAGGCCAGCTTCACGCGCTGCCCGCTCTCGTCGACGATCCATCGGGAGGAGGTGGAGAGCGGGAGAGCTGAGACTGCGGGCGTGAGTGTGAGAAGGGAAAGGATCGAGATAAAGGAGAAAAATGAGATGATTGACCTTGCCATGTTGGGAGGAATGTTGAGAGTATATGGAAACTCAACCTTCATTTTATATACTAGTGATTCAAAGGCTCACCACACTTGTATAACAAATTTAATTACGAAAATGCTACTTTTATCATCTAGTTGTATCATCATTTGCATTATCTCTTTAATAGTGATGATACTTAGGTGCGTTAGTGGACCCTAGCTTTATTAGAAGATTGTACAATTGGTGGTACAAGTAGATGGTAAGTGTAGCACTACTCATTTAATTAATTATGAAGATATAAATTGTTGAGGAAATTGTAGCAATTATCCTTTAACGTTAATCCAATTAGAGTAATGATCATTCAACTAAAAATTTGTGACCATTAGTCCCTTAGCTCATCAAAATGTGCAACTATGGTCTTTTTCGTGAACTCTGTTAGAACTTCCGTCAAAATGAGTCACATGTCATGCATGTAAGGCTGAATCAAGGGGCAAATATGAAAACCAAATGAGAAAAATTATATTAATGATCTCTCAACTTTAACCCAATTGGAGAAATAGTCTCTCAACTCTAACCTAATTGCAGTAGTGATCCCTCAATTTTAACCTAATTGTAGTAATGATCAATCCAATATAACTCATTTTGACAGAATTTTGACAGAGTTGACAAAAAAGGTCATATCTGCACGTTTTTTTATGAGTTAAGGGATCAATGATCGTGAATTTTTAGTTGAGAGACTATTGCTCCAATTGGATTGAAATTGAGAGACCATTGCTACAATTTTCTATAAATTATTACAAGGCTTTATATACTTAATAAACACCTTATTATGCTAAGTAACATGAAAAATAATTATGTATTTATTAGAGGTCTTAGGTTCGATTGTAAGTAAAAGGTATTAGGTTCGATTCTCGCCAATGGCGTGTTTCGAACCATATTATTGTTAGCCTATTGTAAGGCTTGCTTAGCCCACTCCACTGCCCTTTAGTGTAGATAATATTGTTTGTTCAAAAATCTTAATTTATTTGTGTTATGACATGTATTTAATTATTAGCATTTTACTTCAGGTTTATAGCATATAATTAGAACGCCGTCCCCATATATTATAAAACTTGAATTAGTAAAAATATGACAGTGCGATCATATATACTATAAGACGTCAATTAGTAAGAATATGTGACGGGACAACCATCACAATTATTCTCTAGTTCCATACTCTCATTTTATTAGCTTGCATTACTTTATTTTATTTTTGTTTTGATAATTAAGTAAATATGATGTAGATCAGTTGTCTGAATACGAAACTATATGAACTAAAGTGGAAGGTAGTTGAGATGAAGAATATTGTGTGTTGCCTATTGTGCATAGGGCATTGAGAGATCACGTTTGATGTGTTATCGGCTCCGTCCATGTTGGATTTGGAAACACGCCAAGTAATGAAAGTGGTCACGTATGAGCAATTAGCAACAAAAGCTAAAAGCAACGACAGGAAAAGGTAACAAGGCCAAAACCTTTAACTTAACTTATGGTATCACATATTTCGAATGGTGCTTGGACTTTTTGGTCTTTGACACACTTGCAAGGCATTCCACACATAATGCTTAGTATTCCTTTCAAGTTATCAAATTCTCGAAAGAATTATCTTGGAATTTCTTCAACCGTGTGAGTGAGGTCTACTCTATTGGTGGAGAGAGTATTCAATGAGTTCACGACATTAAACACAAAGAATAGGGATCACGGGTAAGTAACATGATACATGAAGTGAGCGGACTAGCTTTTTGTGTGTAGAGTCAGACGATACATGTGATTTATCGACTCAACAAAAAAAATTCTCCGATTTTTAAATGGTATGCAAGGTCGAAAGTGAAATGTGGTACAAGTGTATTATTGTTTTACACCATGCTTACCTGCTTGGAATGCAAGAAGACAATACTTTGTTACCATCTCCAAATCCAAAGCATGGAATATATTAGGTTAGGGGTGTCATGTCCACACACCTCTTTTTACTTCTCACATATTCTTTTAATTTTCAGTCGTCAGATCAAATGAATTGAAGAATATCAAATGACAGAGATATGGGAGAAGTAAAAAGGGATGTGTAGATAGCAAACCCCCTTAGGTTATCTTCATCAAAGACAGATAATGTTTTCCCCGATAATTGAGATCGCTTGCTCGTAGGGATTTTGAGTACTTCCAATGTGATGCAAGCTTTTCCGGTTAAACGACCTCAAACCTGTTAAACCCGAAAGAAAGGTGGAAACAAAGCTTAAGCATATTGCATTCCTTCAAATGATGTTATGTGACCCAAGAATTTCTTTGAATTAAGGCAAGACTAACCCGCCCACTCATTGCTGTGAAGCCAATACCAACAAACAGATTAGAAGACTCCAGGCGAGTTTGTGCAAGAGCAGAAGTAACCTGTCAAGTAATATTCGGGAAAGTTAATAAAGCAAATAAAACTGGTTACAAATTTTTAGTAAAAAAATAGTACTGGATGGACACTAAACAAGCAAGGGACGCTAAACCATCATTATTATATACAAAGATGTTGAAAGCAGGCAGAAGCAGAACAAAACCCTCATCCAAGGAACAGTATGCAAAGTCCTATAAGAAACTGTATGGGGCACTGGTTTACTGCTTGGATTTTTAATGTTTTCTTGGAATTTTAAGTTAGGGTCACTATGATCACGTTTTGCTGCTATATTTGCTTTTGCATCTAACTCGGAATGTTTTTGCAGACGGAAATTTCTAGGGTCCAAAATGCGCAGGCCCGAAAAAAGGTTGGGCATGGCTGGCGAGGTTTTTAAATGCTTTCCCTGCCAACAGATACGCTGCTCTTGCGCTGACAGCATTCCTATATGTAATTTGTTACAGAAGTAAATAATCTTGTAGAAAAGAAATAGGAGAAAAATCGGAAGATGCTGAATATCATCTCAGACAACCTCTTGAAGGCACTAAAAGAACGACAAGATTCAAATCTGAACTCGGTCATTGCAGAAATCGAGGCCTACATAAAGGACAAAGAATTCCATCGTGAGCCTGAGGGAAGGACCCTGTTGGGCTCTTTGGAATCAGATACTTACGTTCCTGAAGTTGATTACCAACATTCAAATCATTGTTTGCACGGCGTGTGCCGCTACTGATTGTATTTGTATGTGTTATAGGTTTACTGCCTTCTGTGATTCCCTGTGGAGCATGTTGCTTCAAAGAGAATGCATATTGATGATAATTCTTCAGTACTTTGGCACAAAAGGCTCAGACATATCTCTGAAGATCGTATGCTAAGGCTAATGAGAGATGGTGTATTGCCACAGCTAGCACTTAATGACATTGAGAATTTCATTGACTGTTTCAAAGGGAAAACAACCAATTCAGTTAAGAAAACAAGTGCCAAAAGAAGTGATGATTTGCTACAAATCATACACACTGATGTATGTGGACCATTTCCAACAGGAACATTATGTGGAAACTCCTATTTTGTTCTCTTTATTGATGATTTTTCTCAGTACACTTATCTGTTTTTAATCTCAGAAAAGTCAGTTTTAAATTGCTTTCAATTTTTCAAACTTGAAGTTGAAAAACAGTTGAATAAACATGTTAAAGTAGTGAGATCAGATAGGAGAGGTGGATATTTTGCCAAATACATTGAAAGTGGTCAACACAAAGGTTCATTTGCCTTGTATCTTGAACAAGAAGGTATTGTTGCTCAATACACCACTCTTGGTACTACATCATAGAATGGTGTTGCAGAGAGAAGAAATAGAACACTTAAAGACATGATGAGGAGTATGTTATCGTAGTCACAACTACCTGAGTTCTTATGGGGATAAGCAATTAAAACAGCTAACTACATACTCAATCGAGTTCCCACTAAAGTAGTTCCAAGCACTCATTTTGAGTTATGGACAGGTTGAAAACCTAGTTTCAACCACTTTCATACATGGGGCTGTAAATGTGAGGCTAGGTTATGTAATCCCATTGAGAGAAAATTCGATATGAAAACTAGGGGTGAGTTGAAAAAACCGAAAACCGAAAAAAACAGAAAACCGCACTAAACCGAAGTTGAAAAAATCAAACCGAAACTGCCAAAACCGAACCGAACCGAAAAAAAAATCATATATAAATAATCAAAAACATATTAGCGTTAGGGTTTGAACCCCTGACCTCTAGGTTAGGTAGTTGCTTTAAGCCAACTTGACTATAAGTTTTGTGTTGTTATAGTTGTACTGGTAATTTATTTATAGGTTTCTAATATTTAACGCTTTATAAAAATTTTTAAGTTACAAACCCTAGCCGTCACTCACACTCCCATTTCAGTTTTTCACCTTTTCTCAAACTTTCTCTCACCCCTCTGCTGCTTCCGCCCTGAGTTTTTGCCTTTGCTTCCTCAATTTCTCTCTCTCTCTCCCCTTCCTTTCTTCCTCCAAATCACTATCTCCAGTCTTCTCCTATCCTCATCACGGATTCCTTCTTCCAAACCATGATTTTCCCTCCCCTTCCCCCCTTTTCGAATTAGAACCCCTCCGAATTGGGAGATTCTAATCCGGGTTTTCCGATCTCTCACAGGTAATTTTCGAATCAAAACAAATATGATTTATATTGGGATTTTCTGAATTAAAATGGGTTTTTCTTTTAATTATTTTGTTGGGGTTTTGTGTATTATAATCTTCCAATTTGGCAGCAGATGCATAAGTGTTGCCATGGCTGACGAGAGGTTTGGGACTAAAAATAAACCCCCAAGGTAAAAATCTCTCATGGCTACTATTTAGTTATATTGGGTTTATTTTCATGGAAAAATCAAAGATTTAACACTATGCGTGCGTTTTTTCTGCGAGAGCTCTCAGATCCACAACAAGAAATGCGCACCGACACCCAATAATGTCAGATCCATGGCCGATCGTCCTAGTTCCTATTCATTTGATGCAGAAGTTTCCTGCATCTTCACTGCCTCAATCGTTGCAGATTTTTTCCAAATTAAAAAAAATCATGGAAAAAACCAAAAAAAACCAAAATCGAAAAATATTGAACCGAACCGAATTGAACTGAAAGTTCAATTTGGTTTCGGTTTTGGCAAAAAATTCGAACCGTTTCG